CTCCTGCCTCAGCCTCCCGTGTAGCTGAGACCACAGGCGCCACCACCACACCCGGCTAATTTTTGTATTTTTAGTAGAGATGGGGTTTCACCGTGTTAGTCAGGATGGTCTTGATCTCCTGACCTCGTGATCCGCCCGTCTCGGCCTCCCAAAGTGCTGGGATTACAGGCGTGAGCCACCGCGCCCGGCCCTACTTTGGAATTGTTTTAAGCCTTTGATATTTGACATACTTCCCAAAATCAAATTTCAAGTCCTAAAATTAAGAGTTTTTTGACCTGAACTAACTTGGACATAACAAACAGGAACCCCGAGAAGTCCAAGGGAGATGTATATATGAGGCTTATCTGGTACGTTAAAATCATACAGGAAGCATCGTCAAATGTGGAATGCTGTTTGAGTTATATTTCCATAAATGTATTATTAACATATGTTCCAAAACTGTATGAGATTCCTAAAAATTCTGACATGTCTTGGTATATGTTATCAGTCGTGATTATATGTTCAATTGTTTTAACCACAGAAGGAACCAAATTCCCTGTCAATCGCATCTTCACCCATGGCTACTCTAAGTCTTTTGTTATCCACAGAAAATTACTGTTTTACTTTCTTCTCAAAATGCAGTTTAAGGCCAAGCATGGTGGCTCATGCCCGTAATCCCAACACTTAGGGAGGCTGAGGCGGGTAGATCACTTGAGGTCAGGAGTTCGAAACCAGCAAGGCCAACGTGGTAAAACCCCATCTCTACTAAAAATACAAAATTAGTTGGGTATGGTGGCACATGCCTGTAATTACAGCTACTCGGGAGGCTGAGGCAGGAGAACTGCTCGAACCTGGGAGGCAGAGGTTGCAGTAACCCCGAGATTGCGCCACTGCACTCCATCCTGGGCAACAGAGCGAGACTCCGTCTCAAAATAAATAAATAAATAAAATAAGCTACAGTCTAAAATGTGCATTTTCTTCAAGGAACTTCATGGAAAGGACACTGACAAGCATACAGACTTCTGATAACTTGGGAGATCACACCAATGGACCAAGTAAAAATTTCCAGGACTCTTATTAAAAAGCCGATGCTGGCCGGGCGCGGTGGCTCAAGCCTGTAATCCCAGCACTTTGGGAGGCCGAGACGGGCGGATCACAAGGTCAGGAGATCGAGACTATCCTGGCTAACACGGTGAAACCCCGTCTCTACTAAAAATACAAAAAACTAGCCACGCGAGGTGGCAGGTGCCTGTAGTCCCAGCTACTCGGGAGGCTGAGGCAGGAGAATGGCGTAAACCTGGGAGGCGGAGCTTGCAGTGAGCTGAGATCCGGCCACTGCACTCCAGCCTGGACGACAGAGTGAGACTCCATCTCAAAAAAAAAAAAAAAAAAAAAAGCAGCCGGGCGCGGTGGCTGAAGCCTGTAATCCCACCTCCGCAGGAGGCTGAGGCAGGAGAATGGCGGGAACCCGGGAGGCGGAGCTTGCAGTGAGCCGAGAGAGCGCCACTGCACTCCAGCCTGGGGCACAGAGCCGAGACTCCGTCTCAAAAAAAAAAAAAAAAAAAAAAAAAAGGCCGATGCTTTCATGAGGATTGCTAACCCAGCATCATACAGAAGAAAGCGGCTGGGCGTGGTGGCTCACGCCTGTAATCCCAGCACTTTGGGAGGCCAAGGCAGGTGGATCACGAGGTCAGGAGATCGAGACCATCCTGGCCTGACTAACACAGTGAAACCCCGTCTCTACTAAAAATACAAATAATTAGTCTGGCGTGGTGGCAGCGCCTGTAGTCCCAGCTACTTGGGACGTGGAAGCAGGAGAATGGCGTGAACCCAGGAGGCGGCACTTGTAGTGAGCCGAGGTCTTGCCACTGCACTCCAGCCTGGGCAACAGAGCGAGACTCCATCTCAAAAAAAAGCAAATTACATAGAACAGAACTGATAAGAGGTCTGAAATGCTTTTTGTGACTTTTTGTTGTTGTTGAAACCTAGCTGACTCTTTTTATATTTTGTTTTCCAGAGTCAAAAATCCTTTTTCTGCTTGAGCTATTTATAGCTATAGCAATTGGGTGACATACACTTTTGTGAGCAAAACTGAAACATTTGTCTTTTTCTCTGATTTCTCAAAAATCTGGAAGCAATTCATGAGTATTCTTATTTTATGGCAATGTAGTTATTTGCATGAGTTCAGTAAGAATCTGTTTTCCTTGTAACAGGACACAATTGGAGACCCTGGTTATTCTACCAAGGCTTGGACTGGGATGACGTATTTTCGGATATGACCGGACTGCTTTGAGGAATCGAGGTGCACTTTACGGAGCCAATAAAAAGCCCCTTGGGATGACTGGACTGGTGCCCTGTTTACATAGTTCCCTTACAAGGTTCTTGGCCTTGAGGTAAGTAAAGAATGTCACTTTCTGACAGATCCAGGAACTTGAAGATAGTTTGGGAACTGGAAGACATTCACCCCTCAATTCATACAGGTGTTATTTTATTTATTTTTTTTGAGACGGAATCTCGCTCTGTCGGCCAGGCTGGAGTGCAGTGGTGAGATCTCGGCTCACTGCAAGCTCCGCCTCCCGGGTTCGCCATTCTCCACCTCAGCCTCCGGAGTAGCTGGGACAGGCGCCCTCCACCACGCCTGGCTAATTTTTTGTATTTTTTTTTTAGTAGAGATGGGGTTTCACCGTGTTAACCAGGATGGTCTCGATCTCCTGACCTTGTGATCCACCCGCCTTGGCCTCCCAAAGTGCTGGGATTACAGGCGTGAGCCACCGTGCCCACCCCTCAAGTGGCTTTTAAAGGTCTAATCTGACCCTTTTGTAGTTCATAAGCATGATGATTGCCTCATGTGTAGGGTATGTCTCCCTCAAACCCTGTTATGATGTCAGCACATTACCTGTCTGACATGGGGAAAAAGTCTAATCTGAAATTCCTTATGGCAAAGTTCCAGCCAATTTAAAAAGGAGCCTGTATGGCCAGTCACCACTGTTGTTGTACTTTAGGCAAATAATCAGGCCAAATATAATCCTAAAATTTATTTTACAAGTAAATTGGTCTTACCAAGATTTATCTTTGGTAGAAATGGGGAAGTAGAGAAAAATTATGTTTCAGAGAAAAACTATAGCATACCTATTACTGGATTCTATCCCTGACCATTGTATTTTTTATTTTCCTACAGTCTGGACTAAATCCTGAACAATCTTCCGGCTACAAGTCTCTAAAGAAGAACCTGGCTGGGTACAGTGTTCACACCTATAATCCCAGCACTTTGGGAGGCCCAGATGAGAGGATCGCTTGGGCTCAGGAGTTCGAGACTAGCCTGGGCAAGGTGGCAAGACCTAGTCTCCACCAAAAAAATTTAAAAATTAGCCGGTCCTGGTGGCAAATACCTGCATTCCCAGGTACTCGGGAGGCTGAGACAAGAGGACCCTTTAAGCCCAAGAGCTCAAGGCTGCTATGAGTGGGGATTGTGCCTCTGCACTCCAGCGTGAGCAGCAGAGCAAGACCCCATCGCTAAATAAACAATAAATAAAGAAGAACATGGATTTTAGTTTCTTCATGTTTTTAGTTGTCTCCCTAATGGAACAGGTTTGTTTCTTTCATCCTAGCATATAAATTGGTTATAGTCCTATGTGTTACTTCTGAGAAAACTAACATTAATGGTGTTTCTAAAAACTAGAGATGATTCAACAGGTGATAGCAGCTGTATAAATTAATGACTTCACTGAGGCCTCATGTTTGCCACCCTGTGATGCCATTCCAATTCAGTTTGTGGTGTTCTTAAAAAAAAAAAAAAAAATCCTCCCTGAAATGTCTCCTCCTTCCCTGCTTGGCATGGGACAGGACTATGTGGAAAGGAGCCTTCCCAGCAAGAGGGGACACTCTGACCCTCAGATTTTGATAATCGATGCTTTCAAGAAGAAATATTTTGATCAAAAGGGGAGCAAATGAGAAAGAAAAAAATCATTTATCTGAGGAATGCAAAGCCCTTTTAAACTTCTGGCCCAGAAAGCCTGATGTTAAGTACCAGAAAGCATTTCAAATGAAATCGCAGTCCTTCACTACCCCTTGAGCCAAGTAACTTCCCACTGGTAACACCCAGCCGTGGCTGATCGCGAACCAATGCCATTTCTACAAGCCAGTGAGCTCCAAACCACCTGCTCTCCGACGGGCTCTCTTTTCTTAAAAAACCTGAGCCTCTGTCTTGTTCTCCGGTGCACCTGGTGACCCAGGCCGCCCTCGACCTCTGTGCCTGAATAAACCCACCGGGCACCACATTCTGACCCTTTTCGTTATTTTAGGTTCACAACTGATACAGGACTCAGCGCCGGTGGGCAGGAAGCCAGGGCCCCTGCAGGGAGGGGAGGGCAGGGCTGGGCGCGCGTCCCACCGGGAGCGCCTCCTCCTCGGCGACTGAGCAAAGGGCCTCCGGGTCCCGTGAAGTCCGCGCTCGGAAGGTGCGGAGGAAGGCAGGCCCCGCGGGACAGGGCGGCGGGGTCGGCTCAGCGTCCCGCGGCGTCCGGCTGCCCGGCGGCCTCCTGAGCGGGGCCCTGCAGGAGAACGCGCCTTCCCCGCCCCATCGGGGCCTCAGTTTCCCCACCCCGGGAGAGCCAGCGGCCCGCCCCCGGCTCACTCTCAGCTGCAGCCCTCACCTCAGGACGCGCACTGGGCCCGGCCCCGCTCTGCCCTCCGCGCCCAGGCCGCCCACCTGGCCCGCGCGGCCCGGGGTCGCTCACCTGCAGGGCCGGGGCCGCCCCACACCGTCCACGCCCGCGCGGAACCTTGGCCCTACCGCAGCGGCTGGCCCGGAGGGCTTTATCCGAAGCACCGAGGCCAGCGCGGGCGGGGCTGGAAAGCCGGGCGCACAAAGCTCCAGGCGGAAGTCCGGCCGGGGCGGGGCCTGAATAGGAGGTGGGCGTGATCGGAGGGCTGGGGGGCATGGCCGTCTCAGGCGGGGGCGTGGTCAGGAGATCCCGGGCGGGGCGGGGCCCTACCGGGGAGGAGCGGGCGCCTGCCGCCAGGGGGCGCCGTGGGGCAGCGGGGTTGCACCTGGCGCGCGGCGGCCGCTCCTCTGCCCGCGTCCCAGGCCCCGCAGCCCCGCGCCGCCTCCTGGACCCGGACCCGGACCCGGTCCCGGACCCTCCGCGGGATCCCAGCTCCTCCTCGAGCCGCCACGGGCCGCCATGGCCTCTCTGGGGGATCTGGTGCGCGCCTGGCACCTGGGCGCGCAGGCCGTGGATCGCGGGGACTGGGCCCGCGCCTTGCACCTGTTCTCGGGCGTCCCGGCGCCGCCCGCCAGGCTGTGCTTCAACGCGGGCTGCGTGCACCTGCTGGCCGGGGACGCCGAGGCCGCGCTGCGGGTGAGCGGGGCGTGGAGAGGCCGGTGCGGACGATGCCTCCGCCTCGAGCCCCTGGGGAGGGCTCTGGGCCCCTCCCCGACGGTTACGGGGTCGCCCTGCCGCCCCCGACCCAGCGAACGCCCCTGCAGGTGGGAGCGGAGCAGTGGGGGCCTCACCTGAGCTGAGCGAGGCCGGGCTGGGGGGCGCGGCGGTTACTGGCGGAGGCCCGGGCCCGAGGGTGACTCACACCGGGAAGGGGGAAGCTGCTGGGCTGGGTCAGGCCCGAGGGGCCGCCCTGTACCAAGAGGAAAGCGTTGCACCTGTGGTCATGGCCAGGAGACCGGGTCAGTCTCCTCCTCTGAGCCCTCAGCCATCCCCCAGCCCACTCCCCGAAACAGCCAGGAGTCCAGGGTGCCCGGGTGCAGCGGCCAAGGCCCTGCACGGAGTCCGCTGCCCTTCCTGCGCCTGCCCCCGTTCCGAGGCCGCCTGTACCTGCGCATTCCAAACACCAGCGCTGCCCCCACGCTCAGTCCCAAGCACCCTGCAGAAGCAGGCGGGTGCCCACGGTTATTGAAGGCTTGGTGACAGCAGCGATGAAAAGGAGAGGGAACTTCGCTCTGTGAGAGGGTCTCCACGCCCCCGACTCGCAAAATATCCCCCTTGGAGGAGACTGGGCAAAGTGCATGAGACCCCCCTCTCTTGTGTCTTAAAGCTGCATACAAATTTACAGTCACCTCCACAATGATTTCATTTTTTTGTTTGTTTCAAAGACGGAGTCTTGTTCTGTCGCCCAGGCTGACTCGAGTGCAGTGGTGCCATCTTGGCTCACTGCAACCTCTGCCTCTGGAGTTCAAGCAATTCTGCCTCAGCCTCCCGAGTAGCTAGGATTAGAGGCTAGGATTAGAGGCGCCCACCACCCTGCCCGGCTGATTTTGTATTTTTAGTAGAAATGGGGTTTCACCATGTTGGTGAGGCTGGTCTTGAACTCCTGACCTTAGGTGATCTACCCTCCTTGACCTCCCAAAGTTGGTGGGATTACAAACGTGAGCCATGTTGCCCCACCCACAATGATTTCATTTTAAAATGTTATCCAAGAAAGGGAATGTAATCATTAGACACCAGGTGGTTCAGCAACAAATCCTATGGTTGGGGCTAACCCAGTCACCTTGTGCTCATATGCCTGGTTTCACTACAGAGAGAGGACACGGTGAAAGTCAATACAACTAATCACAGCATATGCTATTAGGAATATAGGAACTTAGGAAAGAGGATGGAACAGCTGATTCATAAAACCGATCATCTGAGGGGCAGGCCAGGGTGCAGGTGTTGCTGGAACTGCTGTCTCTTGGTAGGAGCCTTGCGTGACGTTTGGGGAAGACAGGTGGGTTCTGCCGGCCCTGAGCAGCCACCCCACATCAGGGCTGTGTGCCTGTGCTCAGCCGCCACACTTCACACCTGTGTGAACTCAGTTCAGCGACAAGACCCCGCTCAGCAAAATTTGTGAAAGAGAGATCATAGCACCCTTCCTGTCACACACACTTAACTGATGGCCACAGTCCCTGTTCAGAACATTCTATGTCTTTCTTTTTTTTTTTTTTTTTTTTGAGACGGAGTCTTGCTCTGTCGCCCGGGCTGGAGTGCAGTGGCCGGATCTCAACTCACTGCAAGCTCCGCCTCCTGGGTTTATGCCATTCTCCTGCCTCAGCCTCCCGAGTAGCTGGGACCACAGGCGCCGCCACCTCACCCGGCTAGTTTTTTGTATTTTTTAGTAGAGACGGGGTTTCACCGTGTTAGCCAGGATGGTCTCGATCTCCTGACCCCGTGATCCACCCGTCTTGGCCTCCCAAAGTGCTGGGATTACAGGCTTAAGCCACCGGCCCTGCCCAAACATTCTATGTCTTTCTGAGTCTGGTTTAAGGAAGAGCTGTGCTTTACACACAGATAAACCCATGAGGACATGTGTGTTGTTCTTTCTGATTCTAGTAGATTTCTAGTGTGTCATTTTGCATAAACTATCCAAAAAGGATTTTTATTTTATGTTTTGAGACGGAATCTTGCTCTGTCTTGCAGGCTGGAGTGCAGTGGCATGATATCGGCTCATTGCAACATCCGCCTCCCTGGTTTAAGCGATTCTGCTGCCTCAGCCTCTCGAGTAGCTGGGATTACAAGCGCGTACCACCATGCCCAGCTCATTTTTGTATTTTTGGTAGAGACAGGGTTTCACCATGTTGGCCAGGCTGGTCTCGAACTCCTGACCTCGTGATCCGCCTGCCTCGGCCTCCCAAAGTGCTAGGATTACAGGTGTGGGCTAACATGCCCGGCCTGTAATGCAGTTCTTTAACTGGTGACTCTGGGATCTGGGCTGTGTTATCTCATCTCCAGTATTGTGACAGCCAAGGTCGCCTGAGGTCAGGAGTTCGAGAATCTCTTGAACCCAGAGGTGGAGGCAGCAGTGAGCCGAGATCAAGCCGCTGCACTCCAGCCTGGGTGACAGAGCGAGACCCTGTCTCAAAAAAAAAAAAAAAGATTTTTAAAAGACAAAAGTCTCGTATAACCCCACCCCCCGAGGTAACTATTATTAACACACTGGAACATTTTTTCCAGCCTCTGTCCTTGTGCTCACGGTAAACAAATCGGTTTTAGCAGCACCTCAGTGGGCTTTGCACCCTGGACGGGTTGGGGTTGGATGGGCTGTGGCAGCCTGAGTGGTAACAGCCCTGCCCAGGCAGGAGCCTCCAAAGGTCCCTGGACAGGAGCAGGAGGGGCTGATGGGATTCTGTGGCCCTGGCACCAATCACACCGTATCTGTGATGCTGTGTGACCAGGTTACGGACCTTGGCATCCCATGGGCATTTTTGTCCCCAGGCATTTGACCAAGCCGTGACCAAGGACACCTGCATGGCGGTTGGCTTCTTCCAGCGAGGAGTGGCCAACTTCCAGCTGGTGAGGTGAGTACAGGGGTGCCTTGTTCCTTCTCTGACGGCCCTTTGTCTCCCTGCAGAGTCCACTCCTGCACTCCCCCCTCCTCCCTCTCCACCTGCTCCCTCCTCTTGCCCACCCCCTCCTCCGTAGTTCCTGGCTCCAGGGAAACCCAGGCAGAGACTGTGGCCCTCACCTCTGCTGAACACCACCCTTGAACACAGGTGGTCGGGTCCTCACTGCTCACCTGGGCCCTCTGCACCATGTCCCTTCCTAAAGGAGGAATGAGGGAAGGGAGACCATCGGGACTGCAGGCCAGGCCCTGCCTCAGCCTCTCTGCCTGATGCTCAAAGGCCCCATCCCAGGAGGGCAGGCTCTGTGGGGAAGTGGATCACAGTCCCGAGAGCATTGCAGTCCTGAATGTCAAAACCCCTGAAGTCTAAAATCCCAAAAAATATAATTCTAGAAAAAATAAAATTCTGTAAAAGATATTTATTTACTTTTTAAACATTATTTTGAGGCAGAGTCTCACTCTGTTGCCCAGGCTGGAGTGCGGTGGCGGGATCTCGGCTCACTGTAAGCTCTGCCTCCTGGGTTCAAGCGATTCTCCTGCCTCAGCCTCCCGAGTAGCTGGGACTACAGGCGCCCGCCACCACACCCGGCTAATTTTTTGTATTTTTTTAGTAGAGATGAGGTTTCACCGTGTTAGCCAGGATGGTCTCGATCTCCTGACCTCATGATCCGCCCGCCTCGGCCTCCCAGAGTGCTGGGATTACAGGTGTGAGCCACCGCACCCTGCCAACATACATATTTTTTCAAGCACAAATTCATGCACTCTAGTGACAGGCTCACGAGTGTGCAGCTACGAGCAGATGACAGTGCTCGTGAGGAGCTAGGTCAGAAGGGGGAAGACGTACGTGTGTAGACTCTGGATGCTGATTGTGTACACCTGGTTTTATCGCTGGGCATCAAAACACCAAGATGAACAACCCGTCTTCTAACAAGATCCATCAAAGGCTTCAGGGGCCACCACATATGCAGTCGCCCAGAGAGCCAGGATCTGGAGATATTTTGCCTTTCAGAAAGCCATCTCTTCCTTGACTGAGGAGCCAGCATTGGGGATGATGGCTGTGGGACTCTGCCTTTCTGGATGACCACCCAGACCCCTCTGGGGGCAGCCTGTCCTTCAGATGGGCACGGGAAGCCCGCCGGAAGGAGAAGTGTTTCCGGCAGGCGCTGGGGGGCTCCCGCAAGGCTTGGAAGGAGGCTCAGAGTTTGGAGAGGTTGCCCCCTTGGGGCGGGGGGCCTGCGAAGAGGGAGGGAAATAACCAGGGCGCTCTGCACAGTTCAGAAGAGAGGTTTGGGGGCAGGCAGGGGTCCAGGAAGCTGAGTCTGAGCTGGGAAAATGCTGGAGCCCCATCACACGGTGACCCCCACACCCACTCAGCACACATGTGCATGGACCCCTGGCCCACATACCCAGACCTGAGTGTGGAGACAGGCACCGCACTGCCCTCCTTCAGGTCTCCTTGGAACCAGGTGTTGGGGGGCGCTGGAGCGGGGCTGGATGTGAAAACTGCTCGGCCCCAGCCCCGTCTCCGCCCTGCGCTGCTGAGGGGACCCCGGCTGCCCACAGGTTCCAGGAGGCTCTGTCTGACTTCCAGCTGGCCCTGGCACAGCTGAGGGGCCACGCTGCCATCGACTACACCCAGCTGGGCCTGCGGTTCAAGCTGCAAGCCTGGGAGGTGAGGCCGGGCAGAGCTCACTCTGCTGCTGGCTGTGGGGTGTCCACGGGCGGCGGCACCGTCACAGGAGGGCCCTGTGGACTGGGGAGCGCCTCTGCCCGAAGCTCTTGGTGCCGTGGAATCCCCTGGCCACTCCTTGACCCACAGGAGGTTCAGGTGGCAGTGGAGGTGGAGGGACTATTTTGTGCCGTTTCAGGCCACCAGGGGTGGCTCCACCCAGGAGGAGGGCAGAGGCGAAAGGCCGCTGGGTGGGCAGGGAGCAGGTAGCGGGTTGTGCCCACCCTCCACTGTGCCCCCAGCCCTTTCCTGGCTGCCTGGAACATGTTGGCACTGAGGGAGGGGCACTGAGAGGGTCCCCCCACCAGACCCCGGTAACGCACCGCCCTGAAGCCTTCTGGGAATAGCATTGTCTTAGGATGGAAAGTTGGAAGGGAAAGCCCCCCAGTGTGGGTCTGCAGCCAGGGTTAAAGTCAGGTGGGGGCCTCCAGCCCAGGACACAGAATGGTGCAGGGGAGGGGCTGGGTGGGGGAACTGGGGGAGGGGCCGGGTGGGGGACCAGGGGAGGGGCCAGGTGGGAGGATTGGGAGAGGAGCGCAGTGGGGGTACTGGGGGAGGGGCTGGGTGGGAGGACTGAGGAAGGAGCTGGGTGGGGGAACGGGGGAGAGTCTGGGTGGGGGATCAGGCCCCTGCCATCACCTTGGCCCCACTCCCAGGTGCTATACAATGTGGCATCGGCACAGTGCCAGCTGGGGCTCTGGACAGAGGCGGCCGGCAGCCTAAGGGAGGCCATGTCCAAGTGGCCGGAGGGGTCCTTGAATGGCCTGGACTCAGCCCTGGACCAAGTGCAGGTGAGAAGTGCCAGCCCCGTCATGGTTTTGGGCTGGTGCCTACCACATCCCCTCAAGACCAGTTTCACGAGATGAAGAAGCTTCTGGAGGGAGATGGCCCTAGTGCCCAGTTTCGGGTGCCAGGCGGGGGCTTCCTGTGGCCTGTGGGAAGGGGGTGGGGGGCCCAAGTGGCCCCTGCTGCTCCAAGGCGCAGGGGCTCTGCAGCTGCAGGCCTGGTTGGTCACCCCATCTGCATCTGCTGGATGCCCACCCCCTCCAGAGACGGGGCTCGCTGCCGCCACGGCAGGTTCCCAGGGGCGAGGTCTTCCGGCCCCACCGGCGGCATCTGGAGCACCTGGAGCCCGTGGATTTCCTGGGCAAGGCCAAGGTAAAGATGGGGGCGGCGTCCTGGGGCATTGCAGCCGGTGCTAAGCCCTCGAACTGTGTTCCCAGGGAAGGGGGGGTGTGCAGTCCAGGCCACCGTAAAGGCCAGGAGGGTAGAGAGTGGGCCCACAGCCATCCTCAAACTGGCGCCCGGCGGGGGGGGCAGTGCCCCAAATGGGGCTGTCACCTTGGAGGCAGAGCCCACTAGAGCCAGCTGTATAGGAGGGGGCTCAAGCTCTCCCAACAAGGAACCTGCGGGTGCCACCCCCCACCCAGCCTGGGCCATGGCCACAGCCACAGCCTTGCAGTCTCCCGGAGTCCCTACGTCTCTCTGCGTCCCTTTGTGCCTTTGTGTCTCCCTGTGTCCCTGCCACAGATAGCGAGGTCCCGGGAGCGTCCCTGTGTCCCTGCCACAGATAGCGAGGTCCCAGAGGGGGTCCCTGTATCCCTGCCACAGATAGCAAGGTCTTGCGGGGGCGGGGGCTGCAGTCTAACGGTCTGGGCCATGTTATGCGCACACTTGGGTCAGGGTCAGGCAGCACCCTAGAGTCACAGGAATGGGGAGCTGCTCACCCCCAAAGGCAGGGGGTGAAACGTGGGGAAGAACTCCTGGTGGGCGAAGACTGGGTCACCCTTGGCCGGCCACACCCCTGAGTGACCACGCCCCCATCGACTTGCCACGCCCCCGGCTGACCACGCCCCCTCAGTTACCTGCACTGCTCTGGGGGTGCTGACCACGGTGTGGCCCAGTGCAGCTACCCAGCGCAGGAGGCCTAGAGGTGGGCGAAACCGGGCTCTGAGCTGTGTTAATGCATCAACTTAGAGTCCGCATATCACAATAGAGGGCTGTTTATAAGAAACAAAAATGTTTTTAAAGTTGTGCCAAAGGCTGGGCGTGGTGGCTCACGCCTGTAATCCCAGCACTTTAGGAGGCCGAGGCGGGCGGATCACGAGGTCAGGAGATCGAGACCAGCCTGGCTAACACGGTGAAACCCCGTCTCTACTAAAAATGCAAAAAACTAGCCGGGCGAGGTGGCAGGCGCCTGTAGTCCCAGCTACTCGGGAGGCTGAGGCAGGAGAATGGCGTGAACCCAGGAGGTGGAGCTTGTGGTGAGCTGAGATCGCGCCACTGCACTCCATCCAGCCTGGGCAACTGAGCGAGACTTCGTCTCAAAAAAAAAAAAAAAAAAAGTTGTGCTAAAAGTAAGTTAATATTACAGCAGATGTTTCCTTCCATCAGACATTTCCCTCCATGGTGGCAGACGAGGGCCGGATGTGGGCAGCTGTTGCCCAGCCGCCGGGGACTTAGAGCTGTGGGGTGCGGTGGGATGGGCTGCAGGGAGCAGACCCCGCCGGGCCACTGATCCCTGACCCGGAGCCCCCACTGTCCCCGCCAGGTGGTGGCCTCTGCCATCCCCGATGACCAGCGGTGGGGTGTCCGCCCTCAGCAGCCACAGGTGGGTTTGCGGCCCCTCAGGCCCCGCCTGGCCTCACCCAGCTTTGTGGGAAAGAAAACCCTACACAAGCTCGGAGCCCTCCTGGGGCCGCAAAGTTCCTCTGACGGGAGTGTGGGGTGGCTGTCCCGTCCCTGTGTGAGACCTGGGAGACCACTCTTCAAAGTTCAGCCCCCGACCCTTTACCAGAGCGAGGCTGTTGCTTTGTATCCACAGGGACTGGGAGTGAACCTCGATGCCAGGTAGGAGGGGCCGGCTGGGCCCTGAGAGCACGTCCCTTTCCTGCGGGCAGAGGCCCTCCCCATGGAGCCATTCGGGCCGGGCACAGGAGGGCACTCAGATGGGCCGGGCCTGAGAGCCTCCCTCCTCTTCCCAGGTCCCCAATCATGGACTCCCCAAGAGCTGGCACCCACCAGGGCCCCCTCGATGCAGAGACAGAGATCGGTGCTGACCGCTGCACGTCGACCGCCTACCAGGAGCAGGTTCGTGCGCCTGGGCCTCTTCCCCTGCTGGGGGTTGGTGCTTCTGCTGCCTCTGTGGACCGGGGACCACAGGACCGGGGACCACAGTGGAACCAACACGAGGGTGGAGGGAGCAGCTCACTGCGGGGTAGATGGGGCCAGGCTCACCCACGGTCCTGGCCCAGCCCAGCCAGATGGGAGAGTGCCTGACTGTGCCCGAGACGAGAGGGTGCCGGCCATCAGGGCAGGAGAGAGGTGGTGTCCAGTGGAGACATCCAGGTAGCCCTGCAGGCCCTCAGCCCCCAGGACCACCTCAGGCTGGCCACAGCCCCTCCCCTCCCACTGGGGTGGGAGTGACCAGGAGTGATCCAGCTGGGGACAGGCAGGAGGCAGGACAGCTCTGGAGGGGCCCCAAGGCTCCCGCCCCCACATGGGGGCCCAGCAGCGACTCCATCTCCCCAGTCCTCCCGGATGCCCCTGGCACCTAGGGAGAGGCGGAGGAAGGCAGGAACCCAGCTGCTCCCAGGGTGGCAGCCGTGGGCAGGGGCTCTGCTACAGGATCCAGGAGGCCCAGAGAAGGCACCTGCATTTCACGCTGGGCGCATCTGAGGATGTGGTCAGGAAGCAGCCCCAGCACTCTCTCTTTACGGATGCCCACTTCCGTAACTGTGGCATCCTAGAGGCAAGGGCGCCCTCCAAGCTCTGCTTCACTCAATTCCCTCTGGGTCTGGAACCATTCGCCCAGTTCCCACAATGGGCCTTTAAGCCCTCATCCTTCCTAACCTAAGGCAACTTCAACCATCTGATAAATCTAGTAAGTTACAATTGAGGCCAGGCACACCGGCTCATGTCTGTAATCCCAACACTGTGGGAGGCTGAGGTGGGAGGATCGCTTGAGCCCGGGAGGTGGAGGCTGCAGTGAGCCATGACAGTGCCACTCCACTCCAGCCTGGGTGACAGAGCAAGACCCTATCTCAAAAAAAAAAAAAAGAAAAGAAAAGAAAAGAAAAGAAAAGGCCAGGTGCGGTGGCTCACGCTGTATTCCCAGCACTTTGGGAGGCCGAAGCGGGCGATCACGAGGTCAGGAGATTGAGACCAGCCTGGCTAACACGGTGAAACCCCGTCTCTACTAAAAATACAGAAAGTTAGCCAGGCACGGTGGCGGGAGCCTGTAGTCCCAGCTACTCAGGAGGCTGAGGCAGGAGAATGGCATGAATCCAGGAGGCGAAGCTTGCAGTGAGCTGAGATTGCGCCACTGCACTCCAGTCTGGGCGACAGCGAGATTCCATCTCAAACACGACCACCACCACCAGCACCACCTGACCCTCAGGGTCCAGCCAGCGCCAGGCTGTGACTTTGTGACTTGCAGGCGGTGAACTTGTCCCCTCCTTGGTGCCCAACTCAGGGCACACGGTTAATGTCCAGCCCACACAGAGGCCAGGGGCCAGGGACTCGGTCCTCAGCTTCCTGGGGTCACTGGGGAGCCCACCCACCTTGAGCTGCCACCTCGGTGGGCCTGGGGGGACGTGGTGCCCCCTCCTGGTGACAGGCAGCCTCTAGGCCTGCAGGGACCCAGCCCCCTCCTCAGGCAGCTGACTGTGGGCAGGCTGCCTACTGGGCGCTGGCCGGGCACACAGGCCACACCCTTGCCGTGGGTTCTGCTAGGACGGTACCGGCCTCCGGCACCTGACCACCCCGGCCCACCCAGCCTGTGCTTCTCTTGCAGAGGCCCCAGGTGGAGCAAGTTGGCAAACAGGCTCCTCTCTCCCCAGGTATGGGGGTCCTCAGCAGTGGGGTCCCCGGGTGAGGGAGGAAGCTGCTGGCGCACAGCAGCCGGCTCCACCCACAGGGCCCACTTTGGTGGGAGTGGCTGTATCAGTCCTTGCTCTGTCCTTCAGGGCCGCCAGCAACAGGGGGGCCTGGCCCCGGCCCCTATGAGGACCCCGCGGGTGCTGGGGTAAGAGACTCTGGACCCTTCACCTGTCAGTCACCTGAGGGAGGCCGAGGCCAAACCCCATCCCTCAGAATCAAGGCTTGCAAGCCCCACTCACCTGCCCAGTCTCTGCCCACACCCCTCGGGCTGAAGACGGCCCTGACCAGACCCGGGGCCTCAGTGGCCATCCCTCCCCCTCCTGCCTGGCCGCAGGGAGCAGGTGCGGGGGGCTCCGAGCCCCTGGTGACTGTCACCGTGCAGTGCGCCTTCACCGTGGCCCTGAGGGCTCGAAGAGGAGCCGACTTGTCCAGCCTGCGGGCACTGCTGGGCCAGGCCCTCCCTCACCAGGCCCAGCTTGGGCAACTCAGGTCGGCCAGAAAGGCCCTGCTGGCTGCGGCGGAGCTGGGCGGGGTTGGGGGTGGACTCTGTGCTGGGCACCGCCCCGACTGAGGCAGCTGCTGGAAGAGGGGGTGGCAGAGGTCACCGTCCTCCCTGCAGGCCCCACCCTGGAGGCCCCCTCTGAGGAACCTCTTTGCAGTTACCAAGCCCCAGGTGAGGACAAGCAGTGGGTCCCCATACATGAGGAGGAGTCGCTGCAGAGGGCCTGGCTGGACGCGGCTGCTGGCCCCAGGGGGCTGCAGCTGCAGTGCAGGGTGAGCCGAGGGCAGGGCAGGGGCAGAGGCAGGGGCACCCTGAGGGGTGGTGGAGGACCCTCCTCCCAGTGCCCGGCCCAACCTGCAGCCCACTCTCCTGCCACAGGGAGCTGGGGGCCGGCCAGTCCTCTACCAGGTGGTGGCCCAGTACGGCTACTCAGCCCAGGAGCCAGAGGACCTGAGTTTCCGACAGGGGGACACGGTGGACGTCCTGTGTGAAGGTAGGGTGGGCATGGCCCTTCCCAGGCAGCACCGGGGTGCCCGGGGTGTGGGGGGCTTACGGCTTGGCCTGTGCCGTGAGCAGACGTGGCACCCAGAGGCGTCTGGGTGCCACATCTGGGTAGCGCCCTGCAGAGTCCAACGTCCCCCTTGCAGTGGACGAGGCATGGCTGGAGGGCCACTGTGACGGCCGCATCGGCATCTTCCCCAAGTGCTTCGTGGTCCCCGCCGGCCCTCGGATGTCAGGAGCCCCCGGCCGCCTGCCCCGATCCCAGCAGGGAGATCATCCCTAGCAATGCTGTGTACATGATATTTTAATAAAAACCACGCTCACTGCAGTGTAACCCTCCAAGCGGGTGTGGGAGGCTGGGCTGGCCCAGGAGAAGCCCCTGGGTCTGGACTCCTGCAGCATCAGGCAGAGCGGGGGTCCAGGTGGGGCAGCTCCCTCCCCTCTGCCCCTCTCTACCCTTCCTGAGGCCCTGTCAGGAGCAGGACCCTGTGCCTCTGTGGTCTTGCCCCCTTTGCAGGCAGTACGTGGCCCTGCAGCCACACAGCTTGGAGACACCATGAGTCCTGGCGGCCTGTGTGCAGAAAGGCACCAAGGGCCCTGGAAGCCCAGTGTGGGAGGGGGCGGGGTCCAGGGACACCGGGAGGGGAGGCCACGCAGCCTCTGTGGACAGCACCACCCCGAGGGTGCCCTGGAGGTGGCTGTCACCTGACCTTGGGCAGAGCCACAGAGCAAGGCCCCACAGTGCTCAGGGCTCAGGAAAGCTCCAGCATCTGGGACGCAGCTGCCTGTGGGCTCTGTGGGGGCCCACCTCCGCCTCCCACTAGTCCTGCAACCAGAAGAGCTGGACCAAGGCAGCCCCCACCACCGCCACCAGGGTCAGCACCATGAACACCACTTTGGCCACCCAGACGCCGTAGCTCACTGCCCGCAACTGAGCCGGTGCGTCGACTGGGATCATCCCGGTCAGGTTCAGCATGTAGCCCAGTGTCCAGCCAATGTCCACACCGCCCGCCTGCAGGACACACGGCTGCTCAGGGCTGCGGGGCAGCTACCCCAGGGCCACGACCCGCCCATGCCCACGACCCGCCCGCGCCCAGGGGAGGCAGTCACCTGACCTGCTTTCGGAACTCGAGGCTGGGCCAGGTCTCCTCGCTGAACCTGTAGCCCTCATGCAGGAGGGTGAGGATGTACAGGCCTGAGGCACAGTAGTCTCGCAGCCAGCGGTCCTGCCCAGGGTAGCTGGCCTCCACCTGGGGCCCAGGAGGCCAAGGTACCAGGTGAGGACCCCCCAATCCTCAGTCATGGGGGGACTGCCCCATCTACCTCGGCCAAGCTGACACCCAGACAACAAGAGGGTGCTGGGCAGTGGTAGAGAGCCCCTCCCTGGCCCCGCTGACCAGTTAAATGGTGCGGGCTGCAGCCCCCTCTTGGCGGGCCAGAGGCTGGGCCCAGCTGCAGCTGCAGTCACAGCCTCCTACCTGGAGCGGCACGGCCTAGAGCTGTCCTCTGCCCGCGCCTCCCCCGGCCCTGCCAGCCGCGCTGCCCGCCGCGCTGCCCAGAATGAGGCGCCAGCATCCTGCCTAGGGCGGCCCTGCCCCCTCAGGGACCCTCGCTGCAGCCGGGGAACCCAGGGCCCACCTACCAGTTTCCAGGGCCTCTGGCAAAACTCCCAGATGGTGGCGTTGACCGTGCTCAGGGGCTGCCCGGAGGTGAGGTTCAGGAAGTGGAAGGTGTAGTAGAAGTTGGAGAAGGCCTGGGCGAGAAGGAGGCGGCTGTGCTTCGCTGTGGCTACGCTGGGTCAGATCCCTACCCCACCCGGGCTCCCAGAGCCCCCAAGAGCCAGCCTGGGCCCCTCCTGGGCCTGTTGCAGTCAGACGGGCACCTGAGGCCCCACAAGGAAGCCGGGACCCCTGGGGGGGCGGCGTGGGAGCTCACGTAGAACTTGCCCTGCAGCGGGGGCTGGTAGATGCCGTCGAAGGCACAATCCTCCCGGCCCTGGCAGCTGGAGAAGTTGAAAAGTTCCCGGATGGCTGAAACGCAGGCCCCAGGGTTGCCTGTCCCTTCAACTGTGAGGTTCTGGGGGAGGCTCGGTGGGGGTGTGGTGTGGACACAGGGTGACTCGTACAGTGGGGCCAGGGCCAGTGTGGTCTGGTAGCCGCTGAGGTAGCATGGGTGACGGAGCAGGGCAGCCGGGCGGCTCTGCAGAGGGCAGGAAGGCCTGAGCACCAGCTTCACACCCGCAGCCCTGTGCACCCTCCCCGGGGCCGGATGACCCACGCCAGCCCCGCGCCCGCAGCCCTGTGCGCCCCTCGCGCCCGCAGCCCTGTGCGCTCTCCCCATGGCCCGATGACCCACGCCAGCCCCTGCGCCCGCAGCCCCAGGCATCTCTCCCCGGGCCGGGATGACCCACGCCAGCCCCGCGCCCCGCAGCCCTGTGCGCTCTCCCCATGGGCCCGATGACCTACACCAGCCCCGCGCCCATAGCCCTGTTCCCACAGCCCCGTGCACCCTCCCCAGGGCCCACTGACCTGCACCAGACCCACAAGGAGCCTGCTCAGCATCTGGTCCCGCCCGAAGCAGAGGTAGCTGTGAGTGTAGACGCTGTAGTTGGAGCCGTAGAGGCGAAAATCGGCCTGGGTGCTCTTGTCCAAGATAGGGCCTCCAGGCACGAAGGTGATCTGGGTGGAGGCCCCCCCCATGTCCAGGGCGCCCACCAGCATCTCCTCCGGAGGCTGGATCCATTCTCCAGTGAAGGAGTACTGGGCACAGAAGGGGCCACTCAGCTCGGAGCAGCCACCCAGACCCCGCCATGGTCAGCCAGCCCCAGACACCGGCCCCTCGCAGACCAGCCCCCGCCCTTGGGCTGCCTGTGGCACCTTGACCAGCGTCCCCAAGCCGTAGTTGACAGTGATCCAACCAAAGGCACCTTCATCCTGCCCCGCCAGGAGCTCGGCACCCCAAAAGTCCACGGGAGACCGGCCCAGGACCTGGGTGACTGCTGCAAAGATGTCCCGGGCCTGAGAGCTGTTCTTCTGCCTGGGCACAGAGGACCAGGGGCTGGAGCTGGCTGGAAGCCTGGGCCTGGCCCCACCCTGCCTGCCACGCTGGTTGAGACCATGGCTTCTGCAGCCATGCCCTGTGGGTGCCAAGGCCATGCCCGCCTCACCTGAGCAACCTCATGCCAGCCGTGGCCCCCAGGAACATGGGTGTTTTCCGATGCTGGGCCTCTGGGATCAGCACCAGCGCCTCCTCCAGGCAGCCCCGCAGGCTCTCACCAGCCTGTGCAGGGTCAGAAGTGTAGGAGGAGATTCCAGGCCCTGGAACAGCAGCCGGGGACAGAGCTCCAGACCCCGCACGTTGGCTGGGGGCAGCTCCCAAAGACGTGGCCACCTCCTGACCCCCGGTGTGGCCACCAGCCAAGGGCTGTGTGGAGCGCTCAGGCTAGAGGAAGCAGGAAGGACCCTAACCCAGAGCCTCTGGAGGGGTGCGGCCCTTTCCAGACCTTGTTTTCAGACTTCTAGAATGCTGAGAAATAAGGTGCTATTGTTTTAAGTCCCCAACTTGTGGTAATTTGTTACCAGAGCCCACAGGAAACAAATTTGGGGCCTCCTGTTTTCCCCTCTCAAGATCCTGGAGTGCAGGACCCCTCTGGCTACCAGCCTCGGCCGCCAGCACCACATGGTGCCAGGGTGGGGAGCACCAGGAGCCAGAGAGGGTCAGGGCCGGAGGCAGCAGACGCTGGGTAGATCCAGGCCAGGCCATGAGAATCTGACTGCTCACCAGGACCTCGGCCATCCCTGAACCTCTCCAAACCCTTTCCGTGCATCTGGGAAATCCCAGCCAGGCAACAACAGGCAGATCCCAGCACCGGGCTGCAGAACTGCCCACTAACCTTCCACCTGGCAGGCCAGGGCCTGGCTGACCACACCAGTGCCATTCTCCTTGTCCGCCGGCCACTGATACAGGAAGAGGGACGTGTGGGAGGAGCCCGCATCAAACACGATGCCAAACTGGGGAGACAGTGGGATAAGTGGGAGGCAGTACCTGTGGACCGCGCCCGGCCTCCCCTGCCGGCGGGGACGCACCTTGATGTCCGTGGGCAGCAGCACGCTGGTGGCCTCCACCAGGAGGAGAATGAGTGCAGTGAGGCCCGAGACCCCCGAAGCCCCCAGTATGGCCAAGAAGACCTGCTCCTTCCGGGACAGCCCCATGGTGCAGGTGGTCCTGGTTCCTGTGAGGGGACGGCCGTGGGCACCCAGGCTGCACTCGGTGTCCCCGCCCCGCCCTCCAGAGGCAGAGGCTTCGCTCCCTGTCTCCCTGGAGACGGACCCCTGGAGAGCCACTGGCCTTAGAGGCATCCCCAGGGCTCAGACAGCCTCCCGTGGCCAAGGACCACTCCCTGGGAGCCACACCTGCCGGGGGTGCCACGGGCATCAGAGGGCCCTGTGGGAGGGGATGGGGGGGGCAGCAGGGGCCTCATCGGGGGACATGGCCTCAGCAGGATCCAAGTAGCCCCCTCGGACCCCCTTGGATGGGACTGGCGGAGCTACCCTCACCATGTGATGGAGTCACCCTGTGTCCCCACCCTTTGGTCCTGCCTGTCCCGTGCCAGCCTCCCCAGGGGCAGCTCCAGCCTGCATTGGGGGCCCAGGGCTCTGCCTCCTCTCTGCGGCCCCCACCCCAGGCTCTCCCAGGGTGGGGTTTCTCTCTGGAGCCCTGAGGGGGCTGCCTGGGGACTGTTGCCAAGGGGTGGCGGGTGAACCCGGGGTGAGGCCAGTCATCCTAGGAAGAAGTGAGGCTTCTTAACGACATCGGTTTCTCTGGAAATCCAGCTCTAGGCTTCTCTAATCTGACTCTGCACCTTCTTAGCTGGCGCCAGATGGCCCCTGGGAGGGAGGTGGACCCAGGAATGCCACCTGAGGGGCCTGGGCTTCTCTAGCCCTGTGGCCCAGGTGTCCACCTCCTCCTCTGCCCAGATGCCCAGCAAGGCATCTCAGCTCTCAAACTACCCCAGGCCTATCCTGTGCCACATAGAGCCCCACTTCACACAGGCACCACTGCCCAAAGGAGTGGTCAAAGCCAGAAACTGCCACCAAGGTCCTGGCAACTGAGCCCCACGTGATTGTGTCCCATCGTGTTCCCCCAGGACACGTTGCACCCACACGGAGTGGCAGGCATGGGTGCTGCCCTGGTCCTGACCTCGGGCTCCTGGGCACATGGAAAGTGGGACACGCTGTGGGGTCCTCATGCAATTCTGTATGTCGGGGGGATACAAGCCCATTTTAAGGAGGATAGATGACAGAGGCTCAGAGAGGACAGGTGGCTGGTCCAGTTCAGACAGGGCCCAGCCTGTGTCCCCAACTGGCACCCAGGCCACAGGCCACCTCCTAGGGACAAACAGGTGACAGGGGCCAGGAACACAGGGACTCCACACTCTGATGTAGCCACCTGAGACCCCCAGACCTGAGCCTCCAGGAAGGCAAAGAGGATGGGGCAACCTTCCCCACACTCAAAAAACCCCCTAGACCAGAACAGCCCCCTAGATGAGGACAGTACCCCTAGATGAGGACAGCCCCCCAGACCAGGACAGCCCCCCAGACCAGGACAGCCCCCCAGGACAGCCCCTTGGCCCCTCACCTGGGCTGGCTGTCCACTTCCCGGAGCAGCGAGGAGGAAGTTGTGCTCAGGCGTCTGTGTCCGGCGCACCTGGCGTCCAGCCTCTCCCTGCCCCTGGGTCCAGGACAGCTGGGGTGGGAGGGGCGGGGCGGTGACACCCTCCAGCGATGCTGTGCACCTGGCTCCAGGGCCCGCAGACTGAGGTCAGCGCCCAAGGTCGCCCCGGCCCCTCCACCCTCGGGTCCGCCGCCCAGGGTCTCCCCGCATCCCCCACCCGCGGGTCCGTCCCAGCGCCCAGGGTCGCCCCGCCGCCGGGGGGTGGGAGGCAGGAGAGGGAAGCTGAGCAGAAGCCTGGAGCTGCGAGGGGCAGAACTCCGGGACCCCGCCCCGCACCGCCTGCAGCCGCGCTCAGGGCCCCGGCCCGGACTTTGCCCCCCGCGCCGCCCGGCCCGGGCAGGTCGGAGTCAGGTGACCCCGAAGGTCCGGGCCCAGGGCGGGGGCGGAGGCGTCTGCACCCCGCGGCGTCGGTCGTTTGCCACTTGCAGCCACTCCGCCCTTCCCGCTCGCCGGGGGTCCCGGGGCCGCTGCCCAGCGTAGGTCCGGACCCGGCCTCTGAAGGGACGCGGGGCTGGGGGCGGGTGCGCCGGGGCCGGGCCGGGGCTGGGGGGGCTGGGGCGGGGCCGAAGATGGACCCAGTCGGGGTCGGGCTGGGGCAGGGCCAGGGCGGGGTCGGGCGCAGGGGAGGGCGCACGGCGGGGCGGGCTGGGGCTGGGGGTGTTGGGGGGCGAGGAATAGGGTGGGGGGAGATGAATTCCTTTCTGGGTGAGATCCAAGAAGACCTCTTGGGGTCTCAATCAGGACTCCCTTTTCTGGTAGTATATCTGGTGTCATGTTTGTGCATTTTTGTGCTTTTTCTTGGTGATTTCACTGTTCATAATGGCCTCTCAGCATAGCGCAGAAACGCAAGGAGGCTGAAATGCACCTTACAGAGAAAACACACGTTGGATAAGCTTCATTCGTGCAAGAGTTAGTGCTGTTGGCATTGTGCCGAGTTGATGGTGGCCCATAGGTTCAATGTTAGTGACATACATATTAAGTAAGGTGCCAACAGCATATGCACACGAATGAAGCTTATCAGCGTGTGTTTTTCTCTGTGGGTGCATTTCAGCCTCCTTGCGTTCTGCTATGCTGAAGGCCGTATGAACAGATAAGAGTGTCCTTAAGCAAAAAGCCCATAGGCCGGGCAGTGGCTCAAACTTGTAATTCCAGCACTTTGGGAGGCCAAGGTGGATGGATCACGAGGTCAGGAGGTGAGATGTCTGGCTAGCACAGTGAAACCCCGTCTCTACTAAAAATACAAAAAACTAGCCGGGCGAGGTAGCGGGCGCCTGTAGTCCCAGCTACTCAGGAAACTGAGGCAGGAGAATGGCATGAACCCGGGAGGCGGAGCTTGCAGTGAGCTGAGATCTGGCCACTGCACTCAGCCTGGGGACAGAGTGAGACTCCGTCTCTCAAAAAAAAAAAAAAAAAAACACGCACATAAAAGAAAGGTTTATTAATATATTGACCACATAAAAGAAGGTTTTATTAATATATTGACCATTTGACAAAACCGTGACCAGAAGCTTGCAGGAACGTAACTTTGCATTTCCCTTAGGAGCAACAGTTTAGCAAATTCACTAATTCAGTGTTTGCAGCAACTTTATACCACGTAGCTGCCATGGATAGTGACAATCAAACGTGTTTGTTGAGGATTTTTGCAGCTGTGTTCAACAAAGTTTCGTAGTTTTCTTTTTCAGTCCTGGTTTCTGTATGGGGATAATGCTGGGCTTATAAAATGAGTCTGGGAAGTTGTCCTTCCTTTTTTTTTTTTTTTTTTTTGAGACGGAGTCTTGCTCTGTCCCCAGGCTAGAGTGCAATGGCGTGGTGTTGGCTCACTGCAACCTCTGCCTCCCGGGTTCAAGCGATTCTCCTGCCTCAGCCTCCCGACTAACTGGGACTACAGGCGCCTGCCACCACATCTGGCTAATTTTTTGTATTTTCAGTAGAGATGGGGGTTTCACCATGTTGGCCAGGATGGTGTTGAACTCCTGACCTTGTGATCCGCCCACCTTGGCCTCCCAAAGTGTTGGAATTACAGGCGTTAGCCACTGCACCCAGCCTGTTGTCCTTGTTTTATTTTGTGGAAGGGATTTGAAGAATTTGTATTAAATTTCTTCTTTAAATATTTTGTGTAATTTGGTCATAAAACCATCTGAGTCAGTACTTTCTTGTTTAGAAAAGTTTTAAAGTACAGGCCGGGCGCGGTGGCTCAAGCCTGTAATCCCAGCACTTTGGGAGGCCGAGACGGGCGGATCACGAGGTCAGGAGATCGAGACCATCCTGGCCTACACGGTGAAACCCCATCTCTACTAAAAATACAAAAAATTAGCCGGGCGAGGTGGTGGGCGCCTGTAGTCCCAGCTACTCGGGAGGCTGAGGCAGGAGAATGGCGTGAACCCGGGAGGCGGAGCTTGCAGTGAGCTGAGATCCGGCCACTGCACTCCAGCCTGGGAGACAGAGCGAGACTCCGTCTCAAAAAAAAATAAAAAAAAATAAAAAAAATAAAGTACAAATTCAGTTTCTTTAACAGTTAATAGGATTGTTCAAGTTGTCTGTTTAATGAGTTTTGGTAGTTTGTGGCTTTCAAGGAATTGGTCTATTTCACCTAAGTTGCTAAATTTATGTGAATACAATTATTCATAGTACTTCCTGGTTATCCTTTTAATGTCTGTAGGGTCTGTAGTGATAACCCTCCCATTCCTCATATTGGTAATTTTGTCCTTTCTCTCTCATCAGTGTTGCTAGCTAGAGGTCTATCCATTTTATTCATCATTTCAAAGAACCAGCTTTTTGTTTCATAGTTTTTTCTTTTTGTTTTATGAATTATTTTAATGCTGTGCTTACATGTATTTCCTTTCTTCTGCTTGATTTGAGTTTATATTTCTCCTCCTTATCTGGTTTCTTAATGCAGAAGCTTAATGACTTGAACCTTTCTTTTTTTCTAATCTAAACATTTGTGCTATAAATTTCCCTCTAAGCGCTGTTTAGCTATCTCTCTCAATTTTTGATATGCTGTATTTCATTTATTTATTTCATTTATTTATATATATATCTATATATATAGATATATATGTTCTTTTTTTTTTTGAAACAAAGTCTCACTCTGTTGCCCAGGCTGGAGTGCAGTGGCACAATCTAGGCTCACTGCAACCTCAGCCTCCTGGGTTCAGTTGTTTCTCCTACCTCAGCCTCTGAGTAGCTCGGATTACAGGCGTGCACCACCACACCCAGCTAATTTTTTTGTATTTTTAATAGAGACGGGGTTTCACCAGGTTGGCCAGGTTGGTCTGGAACGCCTGACCTCAGGTGATCTGCCCACCTCAGCCTCCCAAAATGCTGGGATTACAGGCGTGAGCCACCGTGCCCAGCCAACTTTGTTTTAAATTTGCTGAGGTTTTTTTGTTTTTGAACCACAATCTGGTTGATCTTGGTGCTGCTGCATGTGCGTTTGAGAAGAATCTCGATGTTGCCGTTGGTGGGTGCAGTGTTCTCTAAGTGTGCTTGTGTCTAGCTGGTATTATATAAATACATGTCGGGATTTGTATCTTGCTGATTGTCCATTAGTTCTATTACTGAGAAGAATGCTGGTGTCATCGTGAATGTGTTTACTTCTCCTTTCAATTCTGTTGCGTTTTGCTTCTGATATTTTATTTTATTTTTACTTTTTAATTTTATTTTTTGAGACAGAGTCTTGCTCTGTCGCCCAGGCTGGAATGCAGTGGCACGATCTCAGCTCACTGCAACCTCCACCTCTTGGGTTCAAACGATTCTCCTGCCTCGGCTTCCCGAGTAGCTGGGATTACAGGCGCCCACCACCAAGCCCGGGTAATTTTTGTTGTTTTAGTAGAGATGGGGTTTCACCAGGTTGGCGAGGCTGGTCTCAAATTCCTGACATCAAGTAATCCACCTGCCTCTGCCTTTCCAAGTACTGGGATTACAGGCGTGAGCCAACGCACCTAGCCCACTTATTCTTTTAATCTTTTTTGTTGTTCAGATGGGATAATCTCTGCTGATCTGTCTTCATATTTACTGACTTGTCCCTTTGCCATCTCCATTCTGCTACTGAGTCTGCTCAATGAAGTTTGTTTGTTTTCTCAATTTTGGTTATTGTGTTTTTTGGTTCTAAAATTTTCATATGGTTCTATTTGGTGAGACTCTTTTTTTTTTTTTTTTAGAGGGAGTCTCGCTCTGTCCCCCAGGCTGGAGTGCAGTGGCACAATCTCAGCTCACTGCAAGCTCCGCCTCCAGGGTTTACGCCATTCTCTTGCCTCAGCCTCCCAAGTAGCTGGGACTACAGGCGCCCGCCACCTCGCCCGGCTAGTTTTTTGTATTTTTTAGTAGAGACGGGGTTTCACTGTGCTAGCCAGGATGGTCTCAATCTCCTGACCTTGTGATCCGCCCGTCTTGGCCTCCCAAAGTGCTGGGATTACAGGCTTGAGCCACTGCACCCGGCCTCTTTTCTTCTTATTATTTTTTTTTTTTTGAGACAGCATCTCACTCTGTAACCCAGGCTAGAGTGCAGTGGCAGGATCACAGCTCACTGCAGCTGTGAACTCCCGGGCTCAAACGATCCTCCCTCCTCAGCCTCCCAAGCTCAAACGATCCTCCCTCCTTAGCCTCCCCAGGAACTGGGACCATGGGCATGCACCACCGTGCCTGGCTGATTTTTGTTTTTTTAGTAGAAATGGGGTTTCACCATGTTGCCCAAGCTTCTCTCAAACTTCTGTGCTCAAGTAATCCATCCGCCTCGGCCTCCCAATGTGCTAGGATTCCAGGCATGAGCCACCGCACCCGGCCTTTGCTGAGACTTTCTATTCTAACATTTTAAGTGCTGATGATGGCTCAGTTGGGCACTACTATAATAGCTACTTTAAAGTCTTCAGGCCGGGCATGGTGGCTCACACCTGTAATCCCAGCACTTTGGGAGGCCAAGGCAGGAGGATCACTTGAGGCCAGTTCAGGACCAGCCTGGTCATTCCCAGAACCACCACTGGGGGCACACGTGCAGCTAGACCAGAGGGTGCCCCAAAATCTTGGAGAAAAACTGACCTTGGACCAACAGCCACTGAGGCTGAAACTA